GGGCCCCAGCAACTGTTTTTTTTTTTTTTTTTTTCCCTTTCATCTCTGGAGAGGGAAGCTCAGCTGCGAGGGACGGGGATGGATGGGGCACCAACGGCTGCGATTTCTCCCTCCATGGGAGCGGAGATGCTTTGTGTGCCTGCACACCTGCGAAAGGCACCTTTGGAGCAGCTTTGCCCCCTTGGTGAGAAGAGGGTTAATCCTCCAGCGCACACGCACAAGGCTCCTCCAGGTAAGGAGGTCATTAAGCGCTAATGGGGTTATTACAGCCCACACCAGGACCCACATTAGCATGAAGGCCTTTGGGAGGCTTCGCCATCAGGGCTTGCCTGCAACTCCAGTGCTGCCGACTTCTGGCGCCCGCTGTTCTCCATCACAGCTGGAAATTTAAAACTGCAGCCAGACGAACCCTCCCCGCTGCCTGCCACGGCATCAAGAGGGGAGACGAGGGCTCCGGTTCCTGGGGATTTGGCCCCAAATGCTGCGGGGAGGCTGGGCAGGCTTACCGTCAGCCGTCTCCACGTAGAGTCGCAGCCCCAGGTTGTATTTCTGATCCACTAACCAGTGGTTGCTGGCGGCCGTGACGTCAAATACCAGCCAGCCCTCGGTCCCGGCATGCAGGTCCTGGACATCCAGCAGGAACAGGTCAGACTCCCTGTGGAAATGGGGGGAAAAAACCCCGAGCAAGTGAGTAATAGTCCCCAAAGGGCACCGGCACCAGCGATAATTCACAGAAATGAGTCCTTGGTGCCTGTGTCCATACAGGTCCCGGCACAGCAGCGTCAGGATGGCAGCTGTCGGTGCCTCCGGCTGTGCCGCACATGATGGTGGCACCCTGGCAGCTGCCCTGGGAAAAGCATCCTCCCGGCCCTGGCGGAAGGGCCGGGGTGTGACATTGCCCGGTGGGAAAGCGTGGGAACAGCCAGCCACGGCGGTGCTGCTTCCCTCGGCGTTTGCGTGGTGCTGGGAAGGGAAAGTGCTGGGGCTGGTGCTCACCAGGGGCCCCATCCCTATCTTCAACCCCGTCCCGCTCTCCATCCTCATCCCCATCCCTGCCTCCCTCCTCCTGCCCATCCCTGTCCCTGTTTCCATTGCCATCCTCCCCCTCCCCATCCATGTCTCCATCCTCATCCCCATCCCTGTCTCTATTCCCATCCCCGTCTCTATTCCCATCCCCATCCCCACCCCACCATCTTCATTCCCGTCCTCATCCCCATCCCTGCCTCTGTCCCCGTCACCTGTTGGAGTGCTCAGCGGCGATCTCGTAGATGCTGACATGGAGGGTGGTGTTGGCGTGGCGGGTGACACCCCGTGCCTTGTAGATGCGAAACTCGGCGGCCGTCACCGACTCGCCCGTGGGCACCTGGGTCAGGTCAAATCTGAACTCCTTCCAGTACGGCTTCGGCGAGAAGATGTCCCGGTCCTGCTCGACTGCGGAGCAAAGGGGTCAGGGAGGGCTGTGCCGGGCCCTCACCATGCCGCCGGCCACCCTGACGGGCTGACCAGAGCCTGCAGCCCCCCGCCGAGTCCCACCGACCCCATTTGTCCCCGATTTGGGGACAAACCCTGCTGGCTCCGGGCCCCTCGCCCCGCTGAGCTCTCGGCTGCTGCTGCAAATTCCCATCTCTCCCCTCCCGAGAGTTCAAATCCTGATGCAACTCCCCCATTTTTCCACAATCCCCCCGATTTTATGTTGCTGCAAACCCACCAGCCTCCCAGCCCTCTTTCTTTATTATTAATTAAAAAAAAAAAAAAATAAAAAGCACGAAGGCTTGGCTGTGGGGGGTGCACAGAGAAGCTGCCCGTGGTTTAGGGGCTGCAGCCCTTTGCGCGTCTCGGAAGGGGGGAAACCCCACCCGAAACCCTGCGCTTTGGGGTCAGCGGGGCAGGAATTGGGGTTTTTGCAAGCTTTTCTGGCAGCAGGACAAAGCCTGGGCAGCCCGGGGCTCGCGGGGCCGTCGCCGGGCGTCACGGGTCCCTCTCCCCTGAAACCAGAAAGATTTGCAGCCTACGGGAGATGGGGGGGGGATTTATCAGGTCTCTGCTCTGTAAAAATAAAACCTCGCTTTTTACTGAAAATACCGACTTTCTGCAGAAATCTAGTGCGTGTTGGGAAGGGAAAAATCTGGTGATTCTTTTTTTTTTTTTCATGAAGTCCATAAAGAAAAACCTGCCGTCTTTCTTTACAGTAATGCAGCCCCACACAGTTTCGCTAATATGTAATTATTTTCTTCAAATTGTTCTTTAAAAATATTCCAGGCTGCCATGACTGAACATAATTAAAGTGATTAAAGCTCCCCCTGCTTCAGGCACAAAAGCAATGTAACAAATCTGACCCGGCGCTTACTTTTAAAAATAAAACAAACAAATAATTAAATATAAAATAAAAACGCATGTTTCAAATGCAATTTTTAACTGATTCCAGGGGGGGAAAAAACCATTCCAAATTTAATACGCCATAAAGTGGCCGTCCCCGTTTGTATAGGGGGAGCAGCGTGGTGCAAGTCTCCAAATGGAATGATGAGATTTTAATTATGCATCCATGGATTTTTTTTTTCTTTCTTTTTTTTAAAATAAAAAGCCCTACATTCCCTCCAGCTACTGGGCTCACCACAAGCTATGTTATAAAAAAAGCCCGGGGCCAGGCGGGCCGGGGCGGCTGCGGAGAGCGCTTCCTGCTGCGGC